GAGGTCGTAAGCTAACAGTGAATACACAATTTTTGGCGATTTACATGCCAAAAATTACTCCAAACTACTCTCATATAGGTTTTCCGATATTCAGGAAAAGCGGTATACACATTGCCCTTATGGATCTGGACATATTTCAAATTGTCTTCCATTAGCCCCGCCCCCAAAAACTCGGCAATTTTCAAATGCGTTTATCACGCATCTTAAAAGGAAATTTTTGCAAACTCCTCCTAGGGAAATGTTCGGAAAAATTCCAATCCAGGACAAGTTAAGCACATATCCAATGTCATGCTACATTGAGATGGAATAGTCCTTCGCTCAAACGGGGAGCTCGTAGGCTAACGGAGAATGTACAATTTTTGACCATTTATATGTCAGATAACCTACTGACACCTGTCACATCAACTCTCTCTCACACACACACACACACACACACACACACACACACACACACACACACACACACACACACACACATTACAACTAACACAAACAGCTCCTAAAGCATATAATAAATATCAGGCTACAGCCCTTGTATATTTTATTATGTGAAGCACTATATGGTTTCATGAAAAATATCTACTGTTTATTTGTAGATATCTCCTAAAGCCTACAAATAAAGTGTGAAATGTAGGCCTGTTACATATATTATTGAGCGATATATATTATACACACTGTTCTGCTTTCTGCACTGACCTCAGCAGCTGTTCTCACTGTAAACATCGCCTCACAATGAAAGCAGTTGTATTAAAAAAGAAATAGCCTCACAGCCAGGGGAGATATGATTAGTGAGAAAACAAACGGCAAAGGGCAGACAGTCTGATGCACATTTGATCATCTCACATAACTTATAATCACAACGGGAACAGTTTGCAGAGCTGTGCTTCGTTGACAGAAGTCCAGCCATGCGTCACACCTCTTTTAATCGTCTCAGGAGAATACTTCAGTGTACCCTCGATTACAGCTCCTCCAGAGACACTCCTCTCTCCTCTAAATCAGTGTATCCTCGGTTACGGTTCCTCCAGACAGCCTCCTCAATAATCGATCCTCGACGAGCCTTTAGAGACATTTATTTTCTTTCGAGGCGGCGTGACGACATCCTTTTCCGGGTCGCTGCCGGAGGACCTGGGAGTCTGGGACGCGAAAATTATAGAAATGAGAAACGGCTCATTTCCCAGGACTCGCGCGCGTCTGCTTGACGCCGGGACGACCGGCTGCCCTCCCCGACAGGCGCACGGACGCGAGGGCCCGCTCATCACTGCGCGCACAAGTGCGGCCGCAGTTTTAATTATTATTAAACTGTGAATATTCACTCAAATAAATACTAAATATAATAAAATAAACATTAAGGTGCAGCATTTCGATGAACTGAAATAATCTGTATTTGAACTGTACTGTACTAGTTCCTAAGTAGCCAGTTTGACATAATGACTTGCTTGTCATTGTATTTTCATGTTTTTTTAAAGAAAGATGAACTTGTCCACATTGCTTACCGAAAGGGCAGATCTGCTGGCACTAACAATGTCTCCTGCTGTGGAGAACACCCTCTCGCTAGGGACAGAGGTAGCAGATACAGCCAGGTAGCGCTTTGCTAACATGGCAGCATAAGGATATTTGGCGTTTGTAATAGCTTTGGCTCGGTCTGAACTCTCTGCGAGTGGTGGAGGCTTAAATGCTAGCGGGAGTTGGGTTTGCACTTCAGTCTTTTTTCTTTTGGTCCCGGTGATATTCACGTTCGGGTGATGCCTTTTCAAATGAGTGTGCAAGTTTCATGTATTGCCAGCCGCGTAACCAATTTTAGTTGAACAATGCCGACAAACAGCTTTGGTTCGGTCCACCTGTCTTTGCCCGTCATCCTTTTACGTAACTGCGAAACCAAAATGTTCCCAAACCGGAGACTTCAATGATGCTGGAGGATTTTCGAGCTCAACTTTATCTGCGTTCGCCATTTCGCTAGTTCCTCAAATTACTGACTACATTTGAACGCATCCCTCTAACCAGCTCTCATAGTATGCCTCTCGTCCAATGAAATGACTTGCTCGCTCTGACGCGTTGAACCCAATGTGAGCAAATTACTCTGAGCGCTGCGACGCAGCACCGGAGATTACTTCCAAGAAGTTGTTCACGTTCTCAATTTTTTTTACGTTTAACGTTATATTTGTTCGGTACACACGTGTATCAAACGGTACGGGTACGTATACCATTACACTGCTAGTGTATAATATATATCACTCAGTATAACAGGCCTACTCTCTTTATTTGCTTTAGTCGATATTTTTCTAAGACCATTTAGTGCTTCACATAATAAAAATACACGGCTGTAGCCTGATTATGCTTTACGAGCTGTAGTGTGTGTGTGTGTGGTACGGCGGACAGACGGGTCTCAGTTGGTTTGGTGTGCTCTTTTAATAGCCTACTTGTGAATACAACTTTTGGCCCGTAATTTCAATTCCCTATTTCAGCGACCAGAGAGAGGGGGGGATATATCCAGTCTCTGATTGTGTTACGTTATTATGAGAGTGCTCATATACGAAATTGTATATATTTATATAAATGTGTGTGTGTGTGTGTCCGCATCAGTAGCCTGTTATTGTCTCATTATACCGCACTGTGAATTAATCAAAGTATATATATATATTTATATATATATATATACACACACATATGTCATCATGTACATCTGTCCATCAGACAGAGGGCTGCTGTGCCTCCTGTCATCATTAATGGCCGTCTCTTTAAAATAACCGCTCAGAGGAGAGGAGTTCTCATTTCTCTAACCGCCTGCTGCTTCCCCTCCTCTCTCCTCGGTTCCCCTCCTCAGTCTCGAGGATAGGAGTCGAGGAGGGGAAATTTGAGTATTGAGAAACCTCTATTGGCTCCTTTATAATTAACAAAGCATTTGTCCAGGATATTGTCTTCCCTGCTGTGATCCCTAACATACTGCTGGAACCCAGGTAACACAGTCTCCAGGCAACATTGCTTCTTGTCCCAGAGCATTATTGCCGGTGCATCGGTGGCTGAGTTGTAGCTCGTGAACAGTGTCCTCTGCCGCTGGGAGGCACGTAAACAACAAACAGTAAAATACACCCGAATTCTCTAGGCAGATAAAAGGGTCTTAACGTCATGCAGAGAATTTCTACGTTGGGATCACAGGTTTTACATTTACTGAGTATGACCACAGATCATTAATATACACACAAATACCGCCTCCTCTGGTTTTCCCCGAGTTTGCATCACTGTCTGCTCGAACAATGGTGAGTCCGGGTACTTGAAAGAGATTCAGGCTTTGTAGATTGTAGCCAACTTTCCGTGAAACATAATAAAGAGGCCTCAAGAAATTCATGACAGTACATTGTGTGTGTCCTTAGTGTGTCCACGTTGTTGCTCAATGAGCGCAGGTTTGTGAAAATGATGGATGGAAGTGGTGGCCGGCTGAATCTCCGCCGTAGGCGATTCTGAACGCCTCCCCTCCTTCCTCATCTCTTTTTCCTGGTGTTTCTAAGCGGCTCCCGAGGGATTTCATCCAATATCGAAGAGCACAGGTGGCTTGGTGTATTCGTAGGAAGCCGATCGCATTGTAGCTCTAGCATAGCCTCGCTATGTAGCATCGTAGAGGCCGGGGCTCCTCGCCATACCTGTTCGTGCTGTCACTCGGGTGCGTCTTGGAAAGTTGAATGGCCAGACATGGTCTGCAGAAGGCAAATGTAATCCACAGGATCAAAAGTATTGTCTCTCAAAATGACGTTTCATACAGACACAACAAAGTTTAGACAATAATTAGACCAAAAAAACGAGACGAACGGAGCATACTGAGACTCGCAGTGACAGGATGCCGTCTCCCTCTGTCTCCTGTATACCAGGGGTGGGAGTAAGTCATACATGTGCAAGTCTCAAGTTACTGGGGTGAGAGTCAAGCAAGTCAAGTCCTACGAAATCCTGATGAATAACCCCAGTTTCCACATTTAAATCAGTTAAAAGACAGTGGTTATGAAACTAGTTTTATTTTCAACATTAGCAACAATGGAGAGTGGGGCTCTGAAATCTGAAATCATAAAACAGGCAATAAGGGGAATAATTGGGCAGTTCATTGTGTGTGTGTGTGTGTGTGTGTGTGTGTGTGTATAGAGGTGCGTGTGGTTAAAACGTAGCAGCCTGCGGTCGCTCGTTAGCTGTTCTAATGAAGGTAAACACAGTGAAGACACAGCTCTTTGCAGCTGGTGCTGCTCTTCTGAGATTCTGCTGAGTTACACGTTACTGCCTCCTGGTGCTGCAGAGATTTCATGAAGTGAAGGAGGTTTTTCTTCTATAAAACAGCTGTGGGCAGCAGATACTGTGAGTCACAGACATGAATACATAGGTCAAGGCAGACTGGTTCACAGACTCTCCTGTTTTGCCGAAATGTCCCTAAAATGAAGTCCGAGTTTGAAATATATCTCAAATAATGTATGTATTTCCCCACATAAACATAACAGTCTGCAATGAAACGGCTGTCTCCTGTGCGCTCCACTTCCTACTTTCTCCTGCGAACGAGATACTTTCTTTCTTTTTTTTCTTCATTGCCCTCTAGGGGCAATGCAAATATTTTATTTTAAAAAGTAAAGTCCTTTCGAGTCATCTGTCTCAAGCCTAAGTCAAGTCTCAAGTCATGAATTCAAAGTCAAGTGGAGTCTTTTATCAATGTTAGTCAAGCAAGTCTCAAGTCAAAAAATATGCGAGTCAAGTCATATGACTCGAGTCCCCCACCTCTGGTATATACTTTGGTTAGAATATTGCTGTATTACTGTATCAAATATAATAAACACAAACAGTTGATAAGTAGTATTTTGTTAACTCAAGGTTTATATTAAGTGAGTGTTTATTGTGTTGACTTGTGTATTTATGCTTTTTAGATTGACTTTCTCTCTTTCTCTGTCCTTCTGTTCTAGAAACCAAAAGGAAGAGCGAGACGTCACAGCTGTCAGCAATGTGACAAATCCTTTACAACATCTCGAAATTTAAAGAGCCACCTGCTTATTCACACTGGAGAAAAACCGTATAGCTGTGTAGAGTGTGGGAAAACTTTCACTCAATCAAGTGCTCTCAAAACACATCAACGTATTCATACTGGAGAAAAACCTTACAGCTGTGAAGAGTGTGGGTCAACTTTCACTACATCAAGTTATCTCAAAACACATCAACGTATTCATACTGGAGAAAAACCTTACAGCTGTGAAGAGTGTGGGAAAACTTTCACTGCATCAGGTTATCTCAAAACACATCAACGTATTCATACTGGAGAAAAACCTTACAGGTGTGAAGAGTGTGGGAAAACTTTCACTACATCAGGTGCTCTCAAAAATCATCACCGTATTCATACTGGAGAAAAACCGTACTGGTGTGAAGAGTGTGGGACAACTTTCACTCAATCAGGTGCTCTCAAATCACATCAACATATTCATACTGGAGAAAAACCTTACAGCTGTGAAGAGTGTGGGACAACTTTCACTACATCAAGTGATCTCAAATCACATCAACGTATTCATACTGGAGAAAAACCTTACAGCTGTGAAGAGTGTGGGAAAACTTTCACTCAATTAGGTCATCTCAAATCACATCACCGTATTCATACTGGAGAAAAACCGTACTGGTGTGAAGAGTGTGGGAAAACTTTCACTCAATCAGATGCTCTCAAAAGACATCTTCGTGTTCACACACTCTTAAAACCATAGTGGTGTTAAGAATGTGGGAAAACTTTTTCTTAATGTATTCACCTTAAAGTCCATGAGCGAGTTTCACTGTTCATTAATCTGCCGAGTAGTTTCTCCAATAATCTGTTTGTTTAATAAAATGTTGTGACTTTAAACTATGATTGGGATGTTTTTGATAGTTCCTGTTGAGTTAGCAGTCTGTTCTGGTCTAAAAGAACCAATGATTCATGTATCTAGAACATATTTACGATGTTTTCAGTTTGATCCTATTCTCTTGTTAAAATGATCAGACTACCAAAAATAAAATGGCCTTAGAAACAGACTCGCAACCCTGCATATCTGTTTTTTTTTTCAGCATATTATAAACATGTCATTCCCTTATTTTCAAATACCACAGGTTGTGTAGTGATTTATTTGAGGTGGACTGTCCACATCGCAGACCTGAAGTCGTGCAGTCAATGTATGCAAAGTGTTCAGGACCTTGGTCTCTGAGACTCAAAATAGCCTTTCTCGCCTACCTGTCCACTTTGCATACCTGAGACACTGCAGTCATTTCTCAAAGATGGTGTGGCATATAGGGAGGTGCAATCTCCTGATGAGACTGTATTATAGTGGAAATCTGCAACCCTAGGAAACAAGATAACATTAGGATAATCAGTTTATACAACCCATGTCCAAATCTAACCACTGACATATTTTAAAAAATAGCAGGCGATAAACATAGGAAGGAAGTTTGGTGTGGTGATTACTAGGGATGGGAACGATTATTCGAATAATTATTCAGGTATTCGATTTTCTGGGAGGTATGCCTAAGTTGATTACATATTATCAAATTTAATAATTCAATGTATACGACAGTGCCATAGCTATATGTGTTAGGTCTAAAGGTGTGCTTGCTCCGCTCACCGGCCCCTCACAGCGGGCAGAGCTGCAGGTGCTGATCTCTCTCTCGCATCCGGTTATACTTCACTCGTGTTTTTGTCCAAATCCATCAGATCTAGCTAGTTCTAGCCAATGATATGGCTGCTGTCCTTCCCTACAGGCAGATCACGCAGACTCAAACCTCATCTTATGCCCAAATGCGGCGCAAATGCGTTCCGCAGCCGTTGCGAGGTTCCGGCGCTAACAGTTCATGAGGGTTCTGAGATTGAATAGCTGCATTCTGTGCTTAGGCCCTGTTGTAGGTTTTTTATGTTTTAAGCATGAAAGCTGTAGGCCTTCTGTCAAACTGTGATCACCAGTTCAATACATTTGACAAATTTGACTTGGTTTCTATACTTATTTGAACATGTATTTATTTATTCTTTTGACCCAATTTTTTTTTTATAGGATATGTACATTCCGGTTAACCGTTTTTTGGGGGGTCGAATATTCGAATATACATTTGCTTTCAAATTCCCATCCCTAGTGATTTCAATGCACACAACAGTCTATGGGGCAGCAACCATACAGACAGTAACGGAAATATAATGGAAGAAATGCTGGAGGAAAGAACACTATTATGCGTTAATGATGGACATGGCACAAGAGTAGATGTACACAGGGGGAAAGTTTCATGCCTGGATCTGACATTAGTGTCAAACTGTTTGGTTCATACATGTGAATGGTTTGTTTTAAATAACGCCACTGTAGGAAGTGACCATTATCCAGTGCTTACTAAAATGAATAATAATGTATACAGTGGGGCAAAAAAGGATTTAGTCAGCCACCAATTGTGCAAGTTCTCCCACTTAAAAAGATGAGAGGTCTGTAATTTTCATCAAAGGTACACTTCAACTATGAGAGACAAAATGGGGGGAAAGAATCCAGGAAATCACATTGTAGGATTTGTAATGAATTAATTGGTAAATTCCTTGGTAAAATAAGTATTTGGTCACCTACAAACAAACAAGAGGCGCATTCACACTGCGGTACTTTTCCCACAAAGGTTCATGTGAACTCTTTAGTTCGCATGAACTAAGTACAGATCGCGTTCACACTGGAAAAAGTCCCTGGGGGTGGATTAGGCAAATGAAGCCGCTGACGTCACTTGTTCTTCTTCTGCTTTGGGATTACTGGCAGGCCGCAAACCACTTCACGGCGTATACTGCCGCCCAAAGTCCCCGGCCGGAAGTCCCCGGAGTTGGGGACTGGCTTCAGTAGAAGCTGCTGGGACTCCCAGCAGCTTCTCCTGAAGCCTTCCGAGTAAATCGCCAGAACGCCGACACCTCCTCATCTCCACCACTCCCATGTTTTATTTTGTGTTGCCATAAATTAGTCTCTCTGCGTTTCTGCGCTGGGCTAATGCTAATGCTAATAATGCTAATGCGAGGATAATAAAATGGCGGCTTTACAAAACGTTTTGGTAGTTTTACGGGGCGTGGTTTGCAATCCGCCCAGCCAATCAGAAATATAGCTCTTTTCTCACAAGAGAGCCGCTCGAAAGTCCCTGCTCTCTAGCAGGGACTTTCGAGGGGGTAAAAAGGTTCACATGAACTAATTTTAGTACCGGCTCTTTTTGGTGTGAACGCGATAAAAGAGTTCACATGAACCTTTGTGGGAAAAGTACCGCAGTGTGAATGCGCCTAATATTTCTGGCTCTCACAGACCTGTAACTTCTTCTTTAAGAGCCTCCTCTGTCCTCCACTCGTTAACTGTATTAATGGCACTTGTTTGAACTCGTTATCAGTATAAAAGACAGGTCTGTCCACAACCTCAAACAGTCACACTCCAAACTCCACTATGGCCAAGACCAAAGAGCTGTCAAAGGACACCAGAAACAAAATTGTAGACCTGCACCAGGCTGGGAAGACTGAATCTGCAATAGGTAAGCAGCTTGGTGTGAAGAAATCAACTGTGGGAGCAATTATTAGAAAATGGAAGACATACAAGACCACTGATAATCTCCCTCGATCTGGGGCTCCACGCAAGATCTCACCCCGTGGGGTCAAAATGATCACAAGAACGGTGAGCAAAAATCCCAGAACCACACGGGGGGACCTAGTCAATGACCTGCAGAGAGCTGGGACCAAAGTAACAAAGGCTACCATCAGTAACACACTACGCCGCCAGGGACTCAAATCCTGCAGTGCCAGACGTGTCCAGGCCCGTCTGAAGTTTGCTAGAGAGCATTTAAATCAGGGGTTCTCAAAGTTTTGATGAGTGAGGGCCAATTTAGGTACCCAATATTGGATTGAGGGCCGCCCAAGAAAAACACAAAATAATTCCAAAACAAATCCTTTCTTTATTGTACTAACCAATTACCGCAACTCGCGAGATGCCTAGTTGCCATGCAACCAGTAGTCTAGCAAACTTTCCACAAGCTGTCATTCATAATTTAGGAATGACAACCCAGGGGGCGCAGTTTTACCATTCTTAACCCCCTGGAGTCTAAGGGTATTTTCTCGATTTTTAGATGTTTTCTTAAATCACCTTTTAAATGTATTTCTTTTAACATGGCACCCCATGTGTTAAATATCAAAATGTTCAGGACAATCTCTGGTCTTGCTATATATGCATATTGCTCACCTTAGAGCACTGTTTGATGAGATAAGTAGCTTAAAATGTGAAATCCGATTTTTGGAAAATCTTCAAAACTCTTGTGAAAACACAAATTTACTCATGTGATCGAATTGTTTTGGTGTTTTAGATTTGGTTACCAAAGTCCTAGGATCACAAAAGCAGTGAAATATTTGAATTACACTGTATATAAATGTGTTATTCATGTCTAAAATGAAAAACATTAAATTCAAATTTTGAGTAAAATAGGTATTTATCACTCTACTTTCACCACAGCAGTGACTGAGATACATTAGGACTGAATAATGACTTCATATCACATACCAAGGTTCATGTGATGTGTACAAATACAAATTGAGCATTCAACTTTTTTTTTCAACCAACAATTTATTATAAATATGTTTTTTTCAACCAACTATTTATATAAATATAAGAAACTGGAAAATCTCACTATTTGCAATATTGAACATCAGAACTTTCAACAACTATTCATTATAAATGTCAAGACAGTGTCAAGGTCTTTGTCTGTCTTCCAAGACAGTGGGTCTGGCTGCTGTGTAGGTGGGGGTGATGGTGCATGGGCTGCTGTGTAGGTGGGGTGTACAAGTGCTATACGAGACCTCCTTTCTGGCTGGGTTGAAGGTGATGGCTGTGGTGGAGCCTTTGTGCTGAGGTGTATCTTGACCTGGTGGCAGATGGAGAGTTTGGGAGGTTGCAGAAGGAGTCTCTCTCGATCTCTCTCTCACACACACACACACACACACACACACACACACACATCCTTGTGCAACTCAATTGTGGGGCCCGAACTGATTTTACCCAATTGTGGGGTCCACCCTTTCCAACTATACTAGACCTCCGTAAAAAATCAGGCAATATAGAAAAAAAATTGGAATCACAAAAATCACTTCAAATAAACATAATTCCAAGCTTTTGTCATTATGCTAGTTTTTTACCCACTTAGTGGGGCCCAGTTTCTAGCAGTCAGCACTTATGAGGTCCATTATACACACACACACACACATTTTTCTAGTTTTCATATCTTGGAAGGGATCAGACACACACATATTTCTAGTTTTCATATCTTGGAAGGGATCAGAGTTACTAGAGACATTATTGAGTTGAATGGACTTTCCTTGTTACCAAAGAAACTGCAGAACAGCATCATGAACATTTACATTCTACTCTGATATTTTTTACACCAACAAATTCACATTGCTGGTAAAATAAGTCATTACTTAGGTGATTAGCCTCATCTTAACATAGAATATAACTAGACAGTAGACATGGCAGTAACATTGAAACACCATGGAGACCAAATCAATAATCCCCTAAAGATCCTTTTCGTTCAACATTGTTTTTTCTTAGAGGCAACAATTAGTAATTCTTGAGAAAAAAGTATAATTCATATAAACTCTCTACAACATTATTTTAATGCTATAAATATTTATTTGTATATTATTGGGGTGTTTCTATATCGTTAAAACAAAATGTACAACTTGACCAATCCCATGACCCAAAAAACAAAACAAACAGGCCTAACAAATCAGTAGACTTTTACCTCCTTTTGAGTTACATTTAACAATGACATATTCTGGTCATTTTGAGGTTCAAATTTGTATAAAGTTTCTCTCCTGTGAAATGTTTCCATGCTTCAATGAGGGATTTTAGACTTTGAAAAACATTTACATGCACAAAAAGATATTTTCTACACTACATGAGAGGGAAAACCCTAAAAGCAAAAAAGGAAATCTTTGAAAACATGGATGATTCTTTCTAGCAGCATAATCGGAATGCAATTGATTTCCCTTTAATTTATATTAGTTGACGATTCAAAAATGAAAATTTGGTTTGGTTTAGGTAAAGCCCCTAGTTTTGGTAGTGGTACTTGAAATCCTTCTTTCAACATTGAACGTATTTTTCCTTGGTTCAATTTTATTTCATTTACATTCGGAGAGAAGAAATTGAAATGTTCATGTAATACTTAATGGCTCCCCAGTCCCTATTTGTTAGGGCTTGAGGTTCGGCAGGGATACAATCCTCACATGCATCTTTTCCTGGAACCTGGTTCTTGATTGTCCATTTCATAACCCAAGTGTTGTTCCACAGCAGCACTTTCTGCTGACGTCCAGCTGCGTTTCACAAACGTTTGTTTCCCTAGGTGGACAAATAATAACATGTCATAGGTTTAAGAAGTTTAAGAGCCAGTTATTATCATACAGTTAAGAATCTTATAAAACATTTAAAAAGTACCCATATTGCAGATCTGAAAGAATGTTAATGGTGCGACACCTTCTGATCACTTTATTCCATCACAATCAGACACACCATTTTGTTTGATACTAAGAGTTTGATTATCAACAAAGTGATTGGTCAATTTATCTGTAAGCTCCCATTCATTGTACTAGCGTCTGGCATAATTTATAGAATTTATCAAAGTTGCAAAATGGTATTCCAGAAGATGTCCGTGTGGCTCATTTACAGTCCTGCTCCAGTGTAGTTTGTGACATCCAAGGCAAATACTTGAAAATGTCTATGTTGCAGAGTAAATGAATACACTTAATTTATTACAGACAGAATACTTACTTAAATGTACATAATAATACATGTAAACATTGTAAAATGTAAAAGGTCTTATCTTGGTACATAGTGAAAAGGAAAGAATAAACATATTGTGGAGACGGCTCCATATTACTGAATTACCTCGGTAGTAGCACAGTCACTGTTTGATGCTTATGTAGACATAAAGTTCCAAGGAGAGCGTCTCGTCCTCAACTCCCTCCCTGGATTAGTCTGCCCGTTTGTCACCTGGAACTGAGATACAAAAATAATGCACTAAGAAGATAGTAACCATGCATATAATCATTAGTTGCTGAAGTTAGCTAAATGACAAACTATCTGAAACTGGATTTGGATCAAAACAAAGGCATGGCATTATTTAGTCCTGTGGTCTCAATACATTTTACAATATCAAAAAGGGGTTGCAATGGACTGCTTTCAAATTACCCTTTCAAACATGCACAGGCTCAGGAAGTGTAGAATTATACATACAATGACCTACTATTAGATGTGATAAAGGTACTTTAGAAATAATTTTATTCATTTTAGGTCCTAACCAAACGGGAGGGCCCCATAAGGACAAGACTAGAAACAAGTGTGTGTGACAGGTTTCTGTAACTACTCCCATCGAGGCTAATGTAAATGATAACCGTTTTAACCATGCTTATGCTCACAAAGTGTTAACTTACGCCTACAACAACTAGAGTTTAGATTCTAAAAGGTGTTGCACAAATGTTTTTAAATGACTTTAAGTTATAACCAAACGGGAGGGCCCCATAAGGACAAGACTAGAAACCAGTATGTGTGACAGGTTTAAGTAACTACTCCCATTGAGGCTAAGGTAAATGATAACCGTTTTAACCATGCTTATGCTCACAAAGTGTTAACTTACACCTACAACAACTAGAGTTTAGATTCTAAAAGGTGTTGCACAAATGTTTTAAAATTATTTTAAGTTATAACCAAACGGGAGGGCCCCATAAGGACAAGACTAGAAACCAGTGTGTGTGACAGGTTTATGTAACTACTCCCATCGAGGCTAAGGTAAATGATAACCGTTTTAGCCATGCTTATGCTCACAAAGTGTTAACTTACACCTACAACAACTAGAGTTTAGATTCTAAAAGGTGTTGCACAAATGTTTTTAAATGACTTTAAGTTATAACCAAACGGGAGGGCCCCATAAGGACAAGACTAGAAACCAGTATGTGTGACAGGTTTAAGTAACTACTCCCATCGAGGCTAAGGTAAATGATAACCGTTTTAACCATGCTTATGCTCACAAAGTGTTAACTTACACCTACAACAACTAGAGTTTAGATTCTAAAAGGTGTTGCACAAATGTTTTAAAATTACTTTAAGTTATAACCAAACGGGAGGGCCCCATAAGGACAAGACTAGAAACAAGTGTGTGTGACAGGTTTAAGTAACAGATCCCATTATAGTCTAAAAATATGTTCAATTTAGTTTCCTCAGTCAGATCTACACAAATCACTCAATTAGTAACAGGATTAAAGCTGTATCAGAAAAGCGTTTTTTAAAAAAAGGTCCTCTCTTGAAAAGGACAACATTAACATATTGTGGAGACAGCTCCATATTACTGAATTACCTCGGTAGTAGCACAGTCACTTGTTGATGTTTCGGGGAAAGTCAAGTCTAAGGGGAGCCTCTCCTCCTCAACTCCCTCTGGATTAGTCTGCCCGTTTGTCACCTGGAACTGAGATACAACAATAATGCACTAAGAAGATAGTAACCATGTATATAATTATTAGTTGCTGAAGTTAGCTACATGATAAACTATCTAAAACTGGATTTGGATCAAAACAAAGGCATGGCATTATTTAGTCCTGTGGTCTCAATACATTTTACAATATCAAAAAGGGGTTGCAATGGACTGCTTTCAAATTACCCTTTCAAACATGCATAGGCTCAGGAAGAGTAGAATTATACATACAATGACCTACTATTAGATGTTAAAAAAGGTACTTTAGAAATCTTTTAATTCATTTTATGTTATAACCAAACGGGAGGGCCCCATAAGGACAAGACTAGAAACAAGTGTGTGTGTGACAGGTTTCTGTAACTACTCCCATCGAGGCTAAGGTAAATGATAGCCGGTTTAACCATGCTTATGCTCACAAAGTGTTAACTTACGCCTACAACAACTAGAGTTTAGATTCTAAAAGGTGTTGCACAAATGTTTTAAAATTACTTTAAGTTATAACCAGACGGGAGTGCCCCATAAGGACAAGAAACCAGTGTGTGTGACAGGTTTAAGTAACAAATCCCATTATAGCTAGTCTAAAAATATGTTCAATTTAGTTTCTTCAGTCAGATCTACACAAATCACTCAATTAGTAACAGGATTAAAGCTGTATCAGAAAAGAGTTTTTAAAAAAAGGGTCCTCTCTTGAAATTAACATATTGTGGAGACCGCTCCATATTACTGAAATACCTCGGTCGTAGCACAGTCACTTGTTGATGTTTCGGGGAAAGTCAAGTCTAAGGGGAGCCTCTCCTCCTCAACTCCCTCTGGATTAGTATGCCCGTTTGTCACCTGGAACTGAGATACAACAATAATGCACTAAGAAGATACAAACTATCTGAAACTGGATTTGGATCAAAACAAAGGCATGGCATTATTTAGTCCTGTGGTCTCAATACATTTTACAATATCAAAAAGGGGTTGCAATGGACTGCTTTCAAATGACCCTTTCAAACATGCATAGGCTCAGGAAGTGTAAACTTATACATACAATGACCTACTATTAGATGTTAAAAAGGTACTTTAGAAATCTTTTAATTCATTTTAAGTTATAACCAAACGGGAGGGCCTCATAAGGACAAGACTAGAAACAAGTGTGTGTGACAGGTTTCTGTAACTACTCCCAGCGAGGCTAAGGTAAATGATAACCATTTTAACCATGCTTATGCTCACAAAGTGTTAACTTACGCCTACAACAACTTGAGTTTAGATTCCAAAAGGTGTTGCACAAATGTTTTTAAATGACTTTAAGTTATAACCAAACGGGAGGGCCCCATAAGGACAAGACTAGAAACCAGTGTGTGTGACAGGTTTTTGTAACTACTCCCATCGAGGCTAAGGTAAATGATAACCATTTTAACCATGCTTATGCTCACAAAGTGTTAACTTAAGCCTACAACAACTTGAGTTTAGATTCCAAAAGTTGTTGCACAAATGTTTTTAAATGACTTTAAGTTATAACCAAACGGGAGGGCCCCATAAGGACAAGACTAGAAACCAGTGTGTGTGACAGGTTTAAGTAACAAATCCCATTATAGCTAGTCTAAAAATATGTTCAATTTAGTTTCTTCAGTCAGATCTACACAAATCACTCAATTAGTAACAGGATTAAAGCTGTATCAGAAAATAGTTTTTTTTTTAAAAAAGGTCCTCTCTTGAAAAGGACAACATTAACATATTGTGGAGACAGCTCCATATTACTGAATTACCTCAATATCAAAAAGGGGTTGCAATGGACTGCTTTCAAATTACCCTTTCAAACATGCACAGGCTTAGGAAGTGTAGAAATATACGTAGAATGAACCTATAACACAAGAATGCACTAAGAGAAGATCTCAAAAGGTATAGCTATCCAATAATAAACAAATTAATCACGTACTATAATTATTTGGACGGAAACAATAAAATGTGTTGAATCACGTGTTATTGTTGAGTTATATGTGTAAATGTACCTGTTTGCGGAAAGGCCAGTCAGCATCCCCGTAACTGCAGGTTATTTCTTCTTCTGGGGAGTTGTCTCTGCAAATAGGCAGAGATGTGGCATCCAATCAATGACAATAGTTTTCATCTTGCAGTTTGGTGTTTGCCCAGTAACTTGTCTTGAAGAGATGCATCAAGGGGTCAAGACTTAAATAAATAGAGATTGAATGTTAGTAGTATAATTTGCATACTTGGATTGGATACAGTGTTGAAAGTAACATTTAAAAAGAAAAATTATTATTATTATTATAGACTTCAGAAAACACCGTCCAGAACCCGCCCCCCTTCACCTCAATGGAGAGAGAGTGGAGAGGGTCCCCACCTTTAAGTTCCTCGGGGTTCAAATTTCGGAGAGCCTCAGCTGCACACACCACTGCAGCAGTTAAAAAGGCCCAGCAGCGACTGCACTTCATGAGGGTGCTTCGGAGGAACAGACTGAACAAGAAGCTGCTGGTGTCCTTCTACCGGGCGACCATCGAGAGCGTGCTGTCATTCTCCATCTCTGTGTGGTATGCTGGATGTTCAGCTGCGGACAAGAAAGCCCTGCAGAGAGTGATTAGGATGGCAGAGAAAACCGTCGGCGGCTTTTGCACACTGGGACAGAGTTGCACTCTGAATCTCGTTGTATTTTTTGTATAATGACAATAAAAGGCTTTAACTTTAACTAAAACCAAGTGTACACTAAAGTGCAGTTCCAGTCACTAAAACAAAGATGTGCTCTGCTCCCACATAGTTTTCCTTGCAAAAGTATCCAAAAGACTAAGGGCAGCAATAGACAATGCTGGAGACAACAGTGTGAAATCTATTTGACTACACATTATTATAAATAAACTACGGTCATGTTGCCGGTTAGAATGTTATGTTTACATATTCACTCACCTGTGTCTGAGACACATTACATTCAAATGTTTATCAACAAAGTTTGATTAAAACATCCAAAGGGTTATGTTTAAATCATCACAACTGACGTCAACAAATAAGAAATAATAACCCAATTGGCCCCAGAGATGCTTATTTAATTATATATGATTTATTCTGAATAATAACTGTTTGACTAAAACAGTTATTGGGATAACTTTGTATTATTATATGGGAACATGCTCAACTTCCATGTGGCCCATTTATATGATGCCCAGAGTCTGTAACAGGCATATGGTGTTTCTTTTGTTTTAAACACTCACATTTGACTTTTGTAAGTGGCTTATTTATTGATGAATGAATATTTAGAAAATGTTACCAAATATTACAAAATTATCTTATCTTAAATAATTGCATAGCTTTTTGCTTTTCCCTAGCTTTAAATGTTAATACTGCCAGTAAAAAGTAACTTTTTGGAGTTAAGATTCCCATGGGAAGCAATGTTGGGATTATAAATTAAGATATTGTGATTTAATTTGCACTATTTGCTTGTGTTTATTTAAAACATACAACATTGTAAGCACTTACCTTTAAACGGTGTGTTAAAAATGTGATCCTGGCATCCTGTTGAAGACCAAGTCGTCTCTTCCTCACTGAACTCTGTTTTCTTAATTGTCAGCCATCTCACCTGTTAGACAGAAGAATAGCCTTAATTATTAATTACACCCTGATCCTGTTCAGGATATTTCAATGTTAGCAGGTTCTCAGTCAGTTCAGTCATTCTGATGTTTAATGATGACCATTGTCACATAACTTATTGAAGCTAATGTTATCCCAACTTAATTGAATAAGAAAGTTAATAGCTAGCTTACGTTATCTGGCTAAGAAGGTATAATATTATGTATTATTTACACCACTTTTACAAAGAGAAGTGCCACATGAAAGCCATGTGCACTAAAAGCCTGACTTAATGGTGTGCTGTTCACTCTCTCAGTCTTCTAACCTCATCATGTAGCGCTTGACTGTTTAGCTGAAGCTGTGAATATTTTTCAGCCAAACTCAACTCTTCAATTGTTTGCTGGCTGTTCTGTGCTTTGCTCTCTGTTGTATCCATATCATCACTGTTGCCAGTATTTTTCATTATTTGCTAAATGAGTTTTAGCAATTTCCTTAGATGATACATTGAAATATCCTCTTCTTCATCATTTATTACATTATCCACGGATTCTGTTATTAGTCTTGTTAAAGCTCGCCTTGTAATGACATTTCCACTTGAGACTTTAGCTTCATCACACACCTCTTTGAGCTGATCCAGTTGCAACCTGCTGTGCGCGTCCGGTGCTCCAGCCCTGCTCGCTCCCGTCAGGGGAAAACTCCGTCCGAGTTGGTGTCACACACAGACACGGCGAAACATTAATATCTCAGCAGTGCCTCCAATATTTGTTGCACACGTGGACACAAGAGGGATTTCCAGGCGTGCATACGTTTAAAAAACAAGACGATCTTTACTTCAGTTCTTCAATTTACGTAAAAGCAAGACTTTACATCACGTGTCTGCATGCACTCCTCTCATCCCCCGAGCTGCCCCCCCCCCCCCCACGTGCCTGTGTAAACTTCACTAATTTAGGCATTGCACATGAATACAGTGCATAAATATCCAAAATCCTATGGAGGAGAAATCACGTTGCTTACTTCCGGGTTTTAGGATGCGTCACTGCATCACTGCTCTGTCCTGTTTCTGAACTCACAGCACAGCTTAGTAAGAGTGGGGGAGGGGAGGGCAATCAGGTGCACGTGCACCATGCTCTGCGAATGCACGGGGAAACGAACCACAGGAATATTGCCGTTGTTAACTCCCTGCATCCTGATGCTATCTTTACTTGTACTCAAGCACAAGATCTGAATAATTCTACTTTTACTCAAGTACAAGATCTGAGTACTTCTACTTTTACTCCAGTACAATATCTGAGTACTTTTACTCAAGTACCAGATAGAGTACTTCTACTTTTACTACAATATCTGAGTACTTCTACATTTACTCAAGTACAAGATCTGAGTACTTCTACTTTTACTACAGATCTACTTTTACTCAAGTACAATATCTGAGTACTTCTACATTGACTCAAGTAGACTATCTGAGTACTTCTACTTTTACTAAAGTACCAGACCTGGGTACTTATACTTTTACTCAAGTACAAGATCTGAGTACTTCTACTTTTACTCCAGTACAATATCTGAGTACTTTTACTCAAGTACCAGATAGAGTACTTCTACTTTTACTACAAGATCTGAGTACTTCTACATTTACTCAAGTACAAGATATGAGTACTTCTACTACAAGATCTGAGTACATCTACATTTACTCAAGTACATATCTGAGTACTTTTACTCAAGTACCAGATCTGAGTACTTCTATTTACTCAAGTACAAGATCTGAGTACTTCTACTTTTAATCAAGTACAAGATCTGAGTACTTCTACTTTTACTTTACTACAAGATCTGAGTACTTCTACTTTTACTTTACTACAAGATCTGAGTACTTATACTTTTACTCAAGTACAAGATCTGAGTACTTCTATATGTACTACAATATCTGAGTACTTCTACTTTTACTCAAGTACAAGATCTGAGTACTTATACTCAAGTCCAATATCTGAGTACTTCTATATTTACTACAAGTAAGAGTGGGGGAGGGGAGGGCAATCAGGTGCACGTGCACACCATGCTCTGCAAATGCACGGGGAAACGAACCACAGGAATATTGCCGTTGTTAACTCCCTGCATCCTGATGCTATCTTTACTTGTACTCAAGTACAAGATCTGAATAATTCTACTTTTACTCAAGTACAAGATCTGAGTACTTCTACTTTTACTCAATTACAAGACCTGAGTACTTCTACTTTTACTAAAGTACCAGACCTGGGTTACTTATACTTTTACTCAAGTACAAGATCTGAATAATTCTACTTTTACTAAAGTACCAGACCTGGGTACTTATACTTTTACTCAAGTACACGATCTGAGTACTTCTACTTTTACTCCAGTACAATATCTGAGTACTTTTACTCAAGTAGCAGATAGAGTACTTCTACATTTACTCAAGTACAATATCTGAGTACTTCTACTTTTACTCCAGTACAATATCTGAGTACTTTTACTCAAGTAGCAGATAGAGTACTTCTACATTTACTCAAGTACAATATCTGAGTACTTTTACTTTTACTCAAGTACCAGATAGAGTACTTCTACTTTTACTACAAGATCTGAGTACTTCTACATTTACTCAAGTACATATCTGAGTACTTTTACTCAAGTACCAGATCTGAGTACTTCTATTTTACTCAAGTACAAGATCTGAGTACTTCTACTTTTACTAAAGTACCAGACCTGAGTACTTCTACTTTTACTTTACTACAAGATCTGAGTACATATACTTTTACTCAAGTACAATATCTGAGTACTTATACTCAAGTCCAATATCTGAGTACTTTTACTTTTACTAAAGTACAAGATGAATACACTGCATACATATCCAAAATAATATGGAGGAGAAATCACTTTGCAAGGGAACCAGCATCTTATTTCCGGGTTTTAGGACGCGTGGGGGAGGGGAGGGCAATCAGGTGCACGTGCACACCATGCTCTGCAAATGCACAGGGAAACGAACCACAGGAATATTGCCGTTGTTAACTCCCTGCATCCTGATGCTATCTTTACTTGTACTCAAGTACAAGATCTGAGTACTTCTACTTTTACTCAATTACAAGACCTGAGTACTTCTACTTTTACTAAAGTACCAGACCTGGGTACTTATACTTTTACTCAAGTACAAGATCTGAATAATTCTACTTTTGCTCAAGTACAAGATCTGAGTACTTCTACTTTTACTCAATTACAAGACCTGAGTACTTCTACTTTTACTAAAGTACCAGACCTGGGTACTTATACTTTTACTCCAGGACAAGATCTGAGTACTTTTACTCAAGTACCAGATCTGAGTACTTCTACTTTTACTACAAGATCTGAGTACTTTTACTTTTACTCAAGTACCAGATAGAGTACTTCTACTTTTACTACAAGATCTGAGTACTTCTACATTTACTCAAGTACATATCTGAGTACTTTTACTCAAGTACCAGATCTGAGTACTTCTACTTTTACTAAAGTACCAGACCTGAGTACTTCTACTTTTACTTTACTACAAGATCTGAGTACTTCTACTTTTACTCCAGTACAATATCTGAGTACTTTTACTCAAGTACCAGATAGAGTACTTCTATATTTACTACAAGATCTGAGTACTTATACTCAAGTACAAGATCTGAGTACTTATACTTTTACTAAAGTACAAGATGAATACACTGCATACATATCCAAAATCATATGGAGGAGAAATCACGTTGCGAGGGAACCAGCATCTTATTTCCGGGTTTTAGGACGCGTCACTGCATCACTGCTCTGTCCTGTTTCTCACAGCACGGCTTAGTAAGAGTGGGGGAGGGGAGGGCAATCAGGTGCACGTGCACACCATGCTCTGCAAATGAACAGGGAAACGAACCACAGGAATATTGCCGTTGTTAACTCCCTGCATCCTGATGCTATCTTTACTTGTACTCAAGTACAAGATCTGAATAATTCTACTTTTACTCAATTACAAGACCTGAGTACTTCTACTTTTACTAAAGTACCAGACCTGGGTACTTATACTTTTACTCAAGTACAAGATCTGAATATTTCTACATTTACTCAAGTACAAGATCTGAGTACTTCTACTTTTACTCAATTACAAGACCTGAGTACTTCTACTTTTACTAAAGTACCAGACCTGGGTACTTCTACTTTTACTCAAGTACAAGATCTGAGTACTTCTACTTTTACTCCAGTACAATATCTGAGTACTTTTACTCAAGTACCAGATAGAGTACTTCTACTTTTACTACAAGATCTGAGTACTTCTACATTTACTCAAGTACCAGATAGAGTACTTCTACTTTTACTACAAGATCTGAGTACTTCTACTTTTACTCAAGTACAATATCTGAGTACTTCTTCATTTACTGAAGTACAATATCTGTGTACTTCTACATTTACTCAAGTACAATATCTGAGTACTTCTACTTTTACTACAGGATCTCAGTACTTCTACTTTTACTCAAGTACAAGATCTGAGTACTTTTACTCAAGTACAAGATATGTGTACTTCTACATTTACTCAAGTACAAGATCTGAGTACTTCTACTTCTACCCATGTACAAGATCTCAGTACTTCTACTTTTACTCAAGTACAATATCTGAGTAATTCTACTTTTACTCAAGTACAAGTTCTGAGTACTTCTATATTTACTACAAGATCTGAATACTTCTATTTTTACTCAAGTACAAGATCTGAGTACTTTTACTCAAGTACAAGATATGTGTACTTCTACATTTACTCAATTACAAGATCTGAGTACTTCTACATTTACTACAAGATCTCAGTACTTCTACTTTTACTCAAGAACAAGTTCTGAGTACTTCTATATTTACTACAAGATCTGAATACTTCTACTTTTACTCAAGTACAAGATCTGAGTACTTTTACTCAAGTACAAGATCTGAGTACTTCTATATTTAATACAAGATCTCAGTACTTCTACTTTTACTTAAGTACAATATCTGAGTACTTATACTCAAGTACAATATCTGAGTAGGCTACTTATACTTTTACTAAAGTACAAGATCTGTGTACTTCTACTTGTACTCATGTACAATATCTGAGTACTTCTACATTTACTACAAGATCTCAGTACTTCTACTTTTACTCAAGTACAATATCTGAGTACTTATACTCAGTACAAGATATGAGTACTTCTACATTTACTCAAGCACAAGATCTGAGTACTTCGACATTTACCATTTACCACACACACACACACACACACACCCACACCCACACACACACACACACACACACACACACACACACACACACACACACACACACACACACACACACACACACACACACACACACACACACACACACACACACACACACACACACACACACAGGTATTTCCAGTTACTTTACATTCAGTATAAAATCACAGAAACACATATACATAGGCTACATCTGATTACAAAGTCTCATCTGTACAGGACGGTAAAATAATAACAGGCACACATATAAATAAATCTATGACAAAGTCTCATCTGTACAGAACAGTATGATAAAATAATCGATGGCAAAAACATGTCACTGTAAATGTCTCCGTTGTGGGACGAATAAATGATTAATTTAATCATCTACACATGTAATCTCACTTTTACACACCAAAATAACGTTAACACAGAGTAAACGTTTGCTAATGGAGAGTCTATTTTGTTCTAATAAAAAGTACATGACTATCGATAAAAAATATATATCAATAAACCTATTGTTCATTTTCGCGGTATTCTCCACACATTGCCAGTACACTATTACTGTAATATTTACACTTACCCATGTCCAAATGGATCCTTGTTGTTGTCTTTGTATTCTTCTTCTTCAGAAGAGTCGAAGAATTCAGGTTCTGAGGCTCTATCTTCACTGCTGCTAGCGAAAAAAATCTCTAGCGAAGTCGGCAACTGTAACGTTTTTTTTAGCCATTGTATCTGTCTCTCTCTCTCCTCACAGATGTAAACTGATGGGAGACACGTGGTTTATGTTTTTTTTACTTGGTGGGTAGGCCCTTAGTGATTTCTCGATGCCCATTGGTCATTTCAGACCATGATGGCTGCCGGCCGAGATTTCCTTGACGGACACACAAATCCACCAATCCCACACAGTGTAAAGTCAAGCTGCTTTGAGCGGCCATATTGGCTGCTGTGCCCTGGTTACAGTCTCACAGGAGATACCGCTGGAAAGCTACTCATTTTAATTCTTACTAGATACAACCATGGAGGATTCAAATATAACGCATGCATTTCAGCATGTCACATTAACTATCGCCAGAAACATTTCCGAGGGCCGCCATTGGCCCGCGGGCCGCACTTTGAGAACCCCTGATTTAGATGATCCAGAAGAGGATTGGGAGA